TTACTTCCTACTTCTTGCTATTTACTTCCAATGTAGACGTCCCTTAACTTGTTATAAGCTTGGTCACTCCATCGCACGTACTAAAGTGCTGTGGTGTAATTATCTAAAAAACGTATTAAGATAGAGTAACCAAACTAAGTATGAAGAAAAACAATGATAAATACCTCAATAATAGATAGTAGAGTTTCAGGGAGATGTCAAGCTAATAAACGTGTACCTCCGAATGCCGCAAGCAGCACAGAATTATGTTTATATTTACTTGGTACAAATTGCAAACGAAAAACAATTCAAGTCAAACCAAGCAAAGTATTATAACACTTTCCCAAATTCTCAGTATCAGTCTGAGAATTTAGTCCGTGTGCCTGCATTTTAATAAAAATCATCTCCGCAAACATCCTTTTATAAAATAGTCGTTCTTTATGTAAAATTTTGACATTATCCCATCTAAATTCATGGCCACACTTAATACGATGTTCCTGGACAACAGAGAGCTGTGATGTAAGGTCCCTAGGTAAACGCTTATGCTCAGATATACGAGTAGAAAGTTTTCTGCCCGTTTGACCAACATAAGAAGAGTCACAATCATTGCACTCCAACTTGTACACAACATTATTATGAAGATTCTGAGGTAATATGTCCTTATGAACACGAACTAAACCTGAAAGCTTGTTCATAATACAGAAACTTTGAATATTATTAAATTTTTTAAATGTCTCACTGAGTCTATCAGAAATCATCCCAAAATATGGAAAGATGCAATATAAACGAGTGGGTAACAAAGAAGACGAAGACGCACTTGGTACAATGGTATTCATTCTGTCAATCAGTCGAAACACACGTCTCCTACAAATTTTAAGAATAATTTCAATGGGATAACCATTTTGCACTAAAGTGCGGAAGACAAACGTAAAATTCCTTTCATGGAACATAGAATGGCTAAAAAAAATTACTCTATCAACTAACCCTATGATCGTACTAATTTTATGCTGTAATGGATGAAAAGAATTGTAATTAAGAAGGCGGCCAGAGTAAGTAATAATATATATATAAGTATATATATATATATATATATATATATGTAATTATATATATATATATAATTATAATATATATAATATAATATATATATATATATATATATATATATATATATATATATATA